TCTTAGTTTTCAAACCTTTTTGGGGGGAGGAGATGGGGGACACAGGGTATTGCTGTGTAATTCAGGCTGGTCATAAACTCACCTGAGTAGCCCATACTGGCTTCAAATTTCCAGCAGTCGTACTGCCTCAGCCTGGAATTATAGGAAGGCCTGACCAGTTTTCAAATCAAAGCAACAGAAAACTGATTACAACTATCTACTGATAAAAAGATATAACCTTATCTTGAAATATTCAGTTTAGAATAACTCCCACAAAGAGTACATTGGCTAGAAATAACTATGTTAACAGCCTTATACCAAATCTGCTTCCTTAGCCTTTGAAATGCTTCAGATACCAGAATTAATTTAGTTTTAGCACCTAAGAAAAAGCCCAAGCAAGCAGATGATGAAGAGATGGCCCTGTAGGCCTTGTGTTAAGACTCCTTAACCAAAAACAAGTTTTCACATGAGAATTCAGTCATACAACTTTAAAACTTGCTTCTGATTGTCAGGGGAGTTTTACTGATAGAGAAGAGAGATCCATTTCCTATTCCCTTAGCCACAGATATAAAGCATTTTAGTTTACCATTACTCTGAAGTGAAGAGGTCAGATCTCCCCAGCTTTAATTCCCTTGGAGACCAAAGACTGTCCAATAGACAGCTATCAGACCTGAGTCAGTCAGTCCCAAGGCACTAAGTCAAAGATCTTTCATACTTCTCCAAACACCAAAGAAATTAACATTTTAACACCAGAGATTAACATATTCCAGAAGGAATAAACAGACCAGTTTTAAGTACTGACCTGTCTCCTGTTTACACCATCAGAAAAGCTGATACAACAGCTAGCTGTCCCAGAAGCCCTGTACTGTATGTAATCACAACAGGAAGAGGCCTGTGAGGAACTCCAGGGGAGAATTCCTTGCCATTAGGCTACGGCACTTAAAAGTTTACCACATGGAAAAAAACAATGGTTCAGTCTTTGGCATCTCCCACTCCATCTGCATTGATGGCAAACATAGCTTCAGCTTCAGGAAGACAGGGAGAATCATAGATCTTGCAGATTCTGGTTTCCCCTCTTCCTTTCCTCAGGTACAGCCTGATTCAAAGACAGACCAAAACATCAAGTTATAACTATTTCTGATAGCTGATTTATAAAAATCAGAATACCAGTTTACATATTTCCCAGGAGGACTTTAGGGCTTTTTTTTTTTTTCTATTGCAGTACTAAGGATTGAACTCAGGTCTACTGAGCTATCTCCCCGGCCTGATTTTAGTGTTTTTAATGTACTTCCAACCTGCTGGAATCCATCTCTGCCCTGATTCCTCTCACTGGGATGCTCATACTGATATACTGGAATGCTTAAATTGAAATAAACTTTTTTTTTAGTCAGGAAGTACATCAATTATTCACATCTTCATTATCCTCAAGAAAGGGTGTTTAATTCCTTTATGAATCAAAAGCAAACACTTGGGGCTGGAGAGATGGCTCAGTGGTCTAAGGCACCTACTTAGAACAAGCTTGGCAAAGCATCAGGGACCATAATTCAATCCCCCAGCAC